TGCATTAAATTAATTATGGTTTTGTACTGGGGGTTATAAACAAATAGAAAAATTTTAAGGAATTTTTAAAGGGGAGAAGTCGCTCTTATGTTATATACATATATAAATTTAAAATAAAAATGGCATAACCTGACCGTTCACACGAGCATCATACATATGTCATAATATATACTCTTCTAGGAATAATATAAAGCAAACCTAGAGCCAGCCCAGAGAGAGACGGGATGTAAAGTCAGGTCACTTGAGACAGCAGCGACATTCCAAGGGGCGGCAAACGGGGCCCGTCCGTTAACACCTTGGGACTTTTAAGACAGTTGGGGATTGTGGTGCGACACGAACGGCCGCCCGGCTTTGCCGGGCACGGCTCTCCTCCTCTCTCTCTGGTTGCCTAGGTTCCTCTTCCAAACTTGTGGTGTCCTTATTTCTTTCCCCACCTTATTATATTGTCACATATATATATTGTCTCGTTAGAAAAATAGTTGTCGGAAAAGAGAAGTAGAAATACAGATTTAATCTTCGATACCAATGAACACTCTAACACCATAAAATTTAAGATACACAAATCTACATAGCAATCACAATACAAACAAATCTATGTATTTTATTTCAATTTAAAGCGCTATGTCCCCCTAGGGACACTTACGCTGTCATACATGTATGTCTTTATATTTGTCTATACATATATTTACAATAATATTAGGCCGTGAATAGAATAGTCATATGATTTTAACAGTGAGAAAGAGAGGGAAAAAACGAGAAAAAGGCCTGTGTACAAAAGAAAGAAGTGTCTGTCAAATAAACAAATATATGTAAATAAACCTAATAAAATCTGAAACTTGAGATTATGTAAATTAATAAATAAACTACACCCATACCTCACTTTGCGTCGGGGTTACGTTCCAAAAAAACACGACGCAAAGTGAAAATTTTGATGGCATGGCGCAATAAAAAACAAAGGTGTTGCCATATTTTAGGAAAAAATATTCAAAAAAAATAAATAAATAAATAAATAAAGACGCGAATCCAAAACAACACAACTTCGAAAATCTAACGACGCACAGTGAAAATCAGTAAAAATTAAGCAGCGACGCAACATCGAAAAAAACGCAAAGCGAGGTATTGGTGTACGCTATAATATAAACAAGAAATTCTTTAGTTCGACTTAGAGCGCTATGTCCCCCTAGGTACACTTGCACTTTAAAGATAAACAAAAATTTTGAAAGAAAAGAAAAGATATTTTAATTATGTACAGAATTAGTATGCAAGTTAGTTAGATGAAAAGATAAAATATATATATATCAACACAATTGATATATGTACAAAGGGTTGGTATGCAAATTTAGTTAAATGAAATCAAATTGTGTGTAAAGTATTGTGCGTATTCGAGAAAAGCAATTTACAGATTTAAAAAAAGGTTTTAAGGAATATCATATAAACAAGAAATAATACAATTTAATCTTTAAAACAAACATCAAGAGAAACCGTTGTCAATATAAATCCACACATTTCACGATGATTCTAGAAAAAAAAGCTTCCTAAAGGATGAATCTCTCCTCCAATGTTAAGTTCCAATTACGCAGTTAATTGCTTGGAGCAATTACACAAAGATTTAGAGGCCATTATCTCCTACCAAATCTCTCCAACCTTCCCCATTAAAACGTGTCATCCTAAAGGTCGGCTTTTTTTTTTTTTCTTTTCTCTCCTGACCAATCACACGATGGGGAAACACGTAATCTATCAAAGACTTTTCAACCTTGATGAGAATACCGTTGAAGAAGACAGATCCCTCTTCATCCAGCAGGGATATGTAGGTGTGTATGGTAATGTCGATGGTGGTTTTAATCTGACAAAATCTGTCTAGACATCGTCACACAGCGGTCGGAATTTGCTCTTTTTTTTTCTTCTTCTTCTCTTTTTTACTCCCCACTGTTTTTTTTAGTTGTCATCGTATTGCGCCAGAGAGAGATATTTTTGAGATTTAAAAATATTTTATTGACATCATGCACAAGTCAATGGTGGTATTATATAATAATCATAAAAAGAAGGATAACTATATATATATATATATATATATATGAAAAAAGAAAAAGGCATCTCCTTATCGTGCAACTGAAAGTTGCTGATGGCTGAGCGCCATCTATCGGAATAAATATCAACTATTCTCGTTGATTTTTTTTTATTCCATAATTGGCCAAATACCCATTCTTGATTAATCAAGAAAAGCTAACCACGTACGCGTTTCGGGCTGTTGGCCCTCATCATATATATATATATATATATATATGTCGTAAAAAGATAAAATAAAAGAGTAAACTATACACAGTTATGTAAAGTCCAGGAGATAAAGAGTCCTCCTCCAGACAGTAAGTTCTCCCCTCATCTCAAGTCTCAAGTATAATTATCAATGTTATTTACAAACTTCAAATACTATCTTCCAAATGTTCTAAATTCAACTCTGACAAAGACTATAACAATATGGCCGAAAGGTCTAACAACAAAAACCTTGCCAAAGGTGTCGTATTTTCTAAAATGAAAAATGTGAATTTAGTTTTTTTAAAAGAATTGTTGAACACCCCCATCCTTCCTTGTGTTGTATTAAATATAAATTTATCCCCCTTATTTTAAGAAGAAAAAAAACACAATATTTATTTTTTACTTGGCTCTTAATAAATACTGTTTTTTTTTCTCCTTTTAAATTTAATGATCCATTTAATTTCTTTTTTTTTTAGTGTCCTCTACATCTATTTTTTTCTTATTATTTTTTAAATAGAAGAGAATTTAGTAATATTATATAAACACTGGGGTAGCATATATGGAAGATATATTCACAAATGGGGTTTTAAAATAGAGTAATTATATTGTTTGTGTTTTTTTTAAATCATTATTATCATTTTGAATAATGTGATTCTCCATTATGCAACATACTTGGATTTTTGTTTACATTTTTTGACGTATATTTTTATTTTTTTAATTAACGAATTTAGTTATTTTGTATAAATTACACCTATCCCCCGATTTACACGGTAGATACGTTCCTGAGAAAAACGTGTAAATCGAAAATTAAAATTTTCGCGAAATTTTCATGCGAAGAAATACAGACACAGTGTGCGTGTGCAGCAAGTCAGCACATAAGCTCGGGATTCCTCGTGAGATGTGTACACAGTGCATGTGTTCAAGTAGCACAGTAGCATTTAGTATAGTGCGATAAAAAAAAAACTTATTTGGAAAACCGTGTAAAAGCGAAAACGTGTAAAACAAGTACCTGTGTAAATCGGGGGATAGGTGTATAGTTTTAATTATTTGTAAATAATAATATTGTTTTAAAAAAGTCAGTCTTCTTTTTGAAGGAACAACTCATATAAAACATTCAGTTTATACGATATGTATGAGATGAGAAGTTTTAAAAATATAAGTTCGGATTGTGTGTGATGGGAATTATTACTTCAGGAGAAATGTTTCTTTATAGATAACATTGTTTGATATAACACGGTATATATATGTTATATTAAAATATTTTTTATATATATAAATTATATTTCATAGATTCAAATACTCTGTTAAATCGACCGCCAGAGGTCACGATTCCCCCTATAAAAATTCATTGTTGTTGTTTCCCGATGGCCGGCTCAAACCTTTTGTACATTATGTAAATAAGTTTTTCATTTTTTTATTCTTAAGCCAGGCAATACTTTTATCAAATTATGTTTTTTTTTTATATTCGTTTAGTTCAATTAAAGAAATTTTTGATTAAAACTATTTTTATTATTATACTTTCAAGATTTTAACCACCACTGCTTTAACATAGCATAACATGAATAGCATAATCCTCAAGATAATCAAAATCAACAGAGAATTTCTTTTTTTCTTTTTATATAGCATATATATTGGTGAAAAAAGACATCTCCTTATCGTGCAACTGAAAGTTGCTGATGGCTTGCGCCATCTATCGGAATAAATATCAACTATTCTCGTTGATTTTTAATTATAAAATTATAATTAATTTAAAAAATCAACGAGAATAGTTGATATTTATTCCGATAGATCGCGCAAGCCATCAGCAACTTTCAGTTGCACGATAAGGAGATGCCTTTTTTCATTATTATGGACCTTATCCCAGTACAATATCACATTTGTACTATTTTTTCATATATTGGTGTTATTATTTACAGTAAAAAGTAGTCGTTAACTGCTGCCCAGCATGATTACCATAGGACCCATTATCATGAGACCTGTACAACGTGTACTAGGGATAATAGAAACATACAATTTTTTAATACTTTTTATACAATACTATTTTTTTAGTACATGGTACCATTTTAGCACGGTTTTTCTCTCTTATAATTTATCTCTTCTCTCTCTTTCTAATGTCCTATCTGCGATGAAAAATATTTTGGGAGGGCCTGGCTCATTAGTAGTGGACCCTCACAGCGGTTTCGCCAGTTTGATTCACCCCATAGTGATATTATATGCAATATTGGGTTATTATGCTATTATACCCTGAGATATGGGTCTCTTGCTGAGACAAATATGAATCATTCCAGCAACTACACCTATCCTGAAATATGAGAATTCCATCATGTGATTACAATATAGTGGTTGTTTATTCGATTGGGTATTGTATTCTGTGTGTCATATCTCTCGGTGTCACTTTGATTTCTACAGCTATAGATATATGCACCACACTTGGGATCAGAATAGTTTTCTTTCTTTAGAATAACTTGATGGTTTAAACGATATTATTTTAAGCAACTATTTCACAATCTAACTTAAGTTTGAATTGTCTCTTGAAGATCTAGAGAGATACAAGATAATTATAATACAATATAATATAATGCGGTTTGTGATTGTAAAACGACATTTGAAATACCATCCCGCATGTGTTTCTTAAAAAAAAAAACTCAAAACTCATCTCAAGGAGAAATAACTGATTATTTCTAACCTTTTGGATGAGGTATTAAAGGGTGAATGGTGAAGAGTAATGATAAACGGAAAAATAAAAGTTTCAGGGATAGGGAATCGAACTCACAGTGTTCCGCTTACCGGGTAGATGCCATGTCCACTAGGCTAACCTGGAGATATTTTTCCGTTCGTAAATAATACATAAAGTAACTTATAATACAATATAATATAATGCGGCTTGTGATTGTAAAAGACATGTGTTTCTTTTCAATGCGGGGATGGTATTTCAAATGTCGTTTTACAAGAGAATTATCTTTCGCAAATCTCTTCAGCTTGCTAGATGGCGTTGTAACTTGAAATTCAATCTTAAGTGCAATTATTTTACAATCTAACTTGATGGTTATTGAAGTTATCGGTGAGCTGTTGTTTTACCAAGAATTATAAATAGATAATGTATTTTTAGGAAAATGATTAGAAATATTTCAATATTTACTCTCTTTCTGTTTCTTTTTCTCTCTACACATTTATATTCACCTCTCTTTTTTTTTTCTTGAATATAGAGGTTACCTGGCCGGCATTAATTGATTATAAGAAATTTAGCTCTCATTTTTCTTCTTCTTTAAATGTAATACAACCTTCTACTGTCTTTACTGCAAAGGAAAAAAATATTGGGAGAGCCTGGCTCATCAGTGGTGACTCCTCGTAGAGATCTCATCTGCCAGAGGAGATGCTAGGACAGTAGAAATACATGCACTCATGGACAAAACTTAAGAAAGTTGTACAATACCAGTTTCACTTAATTTCCACATTATTCGATTATTCCTTTTTCTACCCAGCATATGACGCGTAACCGCCGAATTTCCGCTGGAGTTTTTTCCCATCTCTATTCTATTTATCTATTTATTTATTAAATATATACAGTTAAACCTGTCTATAGCGCCCCCTCTTGGGACTCACCAAAATAAGGTGCTATAGAGAGGGGGTGCTATAGACAGGTCACTTTCAATGTAAATCGCATCGTACTACATATTTAAAACCGGACGCTATAGAGAGGAAGGCGCTATTTAGATAGGTTTAACTGTATTATATATAAACAAACATCTATCTTATGTTTTAAATTAACTAACAAATATTTACATTTGGAATTTATCTTAATGGTATTATATATATATATATTTACTGTTAATGTGCTAAGCGTATTTACGCAAGTTTGGCCTTAAATACCCATTTCTTGGTTTTTCAGGAAGCCATTGGGATCAAAAAATCTTTTTGGTCGCAATGGTTCAGCCTACTCCACGCTGACGAGCGCCAAAAGCGCGAAACGCGTTCGGGGATGGCTTTTCTTGATTTATCAAGAAATTGGGTTGGCCAAATAACAGGGAACAGGCTAAATCAATGTTTAGTTGATTTCTGTTCCACCAGATGGCGCTCTGCCTTCTATAAAGCACATGTGCTCCTGGTCAGGATATGCCATTTTTAATATATATATATATATAAAGCATATATTGAATCTAAATTTATTAAACAGCCAATATTTCCAGGGGTAACACGCCTCTCTTTATCAAGGCTTTTGATTTAAGATAGGCGTGTTGCCCCTGGAAATATTGGCTGTTTAATAAATTTAGATCCAATATATGCTTTATATTTATTTATATATATTATTATGATTTGCTCAATCCTTTAAAAAATAATATATATATATATGTGTGGTATATCTCTCAAGTACCATATCCCAGCGATATTTACAACCTCCGCAATGACGAGACCCGGATTAACGTCTCCCCCAAGTTTATAGCCGCGATAAACCACGTGGTTTGACAAATAGACCCGTGGACGGTCCACACCAGCATTCCTTACCACAACTCATCTAATATCCATTTGGTTACACCATCTCCTGTCTGTCCTCATAACTCCTGTCTCTATTTAAAACCTGACAAATGACCCGACGTTGCCCAGGTTATGCCCGTGTGAGGGAGTACTTGTTTGTTTTACCTATTTTATTTGTGTAACAATAGTTTATCGTTTTTATTATTAAAACTAGTAATAGTATTAGAAAGAATATTATTTTATTATTCTAGAAAATAGGCCACAAATACCTTTTCTTGATTATTCAAGAAGAGCTAAACTCCTAGGTCAGAGATTGGCAAACTTTTAAGTCGGAAGAATCAAAAATTACAATTTACAAAACTTCAAAGTTTTTGAAGAGTCACAAAATGTTTTCTTGCCAAAAATAAATATTCAACTAAATTGAACTCTTCGAATAAAAATATCTAAATATAACAACAATTGAAGAGGAGTGTCTTATTAGAACTTTATTCGCAAGCTTTCGGACGTCCTTCTACAGGCTTTACAATGACAAAACATTGTAATACAAAGCAATAACGCGCCATCTATACATATAAAATGAAAGGATTTAAAAGCAGGAATGTTTCTTTTATAAATAATACAAACTTCTACTGTCCTTACTGCGATGAAAAAATATATTGAAAGGGCTTGGCTCATCAGTGGTGAACCCTCCCAGCGGTTTCGTCAATTTAATCCACCAGACCGCTTCTCAGAGCTCTAATACTGTATTGGACGATTCTGCTTATATACGCAGCACTGAAGAATGGAATCTCAGAAATGGTTTACAAGAAAACTATGGACATAAGTTTATAGGACAGTAGAATTACATTCAAATAAATACAATAAATTGTATATTCTCGCATAAATAAGTATTTACGTATGGAACTATATAAATAGCCGCAGCTTTACATCCAAAGAGCCGCATGTGCCTCGCCAGCCGCAGATTGCCGACCTCTGCCCTAGGTGATTCAAGCTGTTGGTTCTCATCAGCGTGGTGTAAGATGTACCTCTAGAAAGAGATTGAGATTGAAATTACTTTATTAAATCGTTCATATAAGATTATACTAGCCGAATGACCCGGGCAACGCCCAGGTTTTACCCGATTAAATGCTTTTATTCAAATACTATTCGTTACAATTATAAATTGGCGCCGTGGATGTCATTCTTGTATAATATATAAATGAGTTTTAAAATTTGTAAAAAAAATGCATCGGCCGGAATCGAACCCGGGCCGCCCGCGTGGCAGGCGAGCATTCTACCACTGAACCACCGATGGTTATGAGAAATGGCCATATTTGGGTATTTATTCTATTCACAAAGCAAACGGTGACAGAATTGATTAAGAATTGTTGCTTGATTATGACGCTGTTAACTGTATATTTTATATATGGTTCTGTGGCAACCACACTTTGCCTCAGCGATGGTGAACTGGGACAAAGCTTCACTACACATACGGGCAGTAATGTGGCGGCCTCACTACGCCTCGGCAACCGATAGTGAAGCCGCCACACTACTGCCCGTATTTATAGGAAAGCTTTGTCTCAGTTCGCGCTCGCTGAGACAAAGTGTGGTCGCCACAGTTATCAATACAATATTGAATAAATATGAATATAAATAATGAAGAATATATAGATAAATATACATCAATATATAAATATAAACAAAGTCTTTATTGATGGCGCTCAATTCGGGAAAGACTCCGTCACCGATGGCGGAGAGAGAGTAGTGAGGGGGAAATTGTGGTAGTGAAAAATATAGGAATATCATTGATATATTATTATCATGTTCTAACCCCGGAATATGCAAATATTTTTGTTATATTAGACTAATTTACATATTATAGTTTTTCTCTGGAACATGACCTTGACTGCTTACAGACCTAACTCTATATCATATGGTTTGGTAAAATATTGTGGAATCGGATAATCAAAACGAATGCTCTGCATGGGCCATACAAACAGAATGAATGCTCTGCATGGGCCATCCAAACAGAATGAAAATGCTCTGCATGGACCATCCAAACAGAATGAATGCTCTGCATGGACCATCCAAACAGAATGAAAATGCTCTGCATGGACCATCCAAACAGAATGAATGCTCTGCGTGGACCATCCAAACAGAATGAATGCTCTGCATGGACCACCCAAACAGAATGAAAATGCTCTGCATGGACCATCCAAACAGAATGAATGCTCTGCGTGGAACAGACAAACAGAATGAATGCTCTGCGTGGAACAGACAAACAGAATGAAAATGCTCTGCATGAACCATCCAAACAGAATGAATGCTCTGCATGGGCCATCCAAACAGAATGAATGCTCTGCGTGGAACAGACAAACAGAATGAATGCTCTGCGTGGAACAGACAAACAGAATGAATGCTCTGCATGGACCATCCAAACAGAATGAATGCTCTGCGCGGAACAGACAAACAGAATGAATGCTCTGCGTGGACCATACAAACAGAAAAAGTACTTTGCATGGAATGGACCATCCAAACAGAAAGAGTGCTCTGCATGGACCATCCAAACCGAAATAGTGCTCTGCATTGCCCAAAACAAACAGAATGAATGCTCTGCGTGGACCAGACAAACAGAAAGAATGCTCTACACGAACAAAACAAATAAATCGCCTTATCTACATGAACCAGAAAATCAAACTCATGACTATTTATGGATTGGTAAAAAAATATGCTTGACTCTTAATAGATCAGACAAACAGATCGAATTCTCTGCATAGAGAGACAAACAGAGCGAATTTTATGAATAGACAGACAAATAGACTGACTGAATATTTAGCATAGAACAAACAAACAATTGATTTGCACGAACCAAACACGTTCTGGATGGCTCAGACAAACGGGAAAAATGCCCAGGACGGACCACACAGAGCGAGGAATGTGCAGGTATAACAACGACCAATGGCTTCCTTCCAGTCAGCAAGTTCTATATATAGTCACCTTCCTGGGAATCTCTGGGGATGATCATCTCTTAATTACTGAGTGAGTCCACGACCTTGACGTCCAGATGGCGCCGAGGTCGACGTTCTCAATTCCATCATGGAAAACTTCACACGACTCGTTGAATCAATATAAATAGATCGTCAACAAGACCTTTAGACCTGATTCACTCGAACTTGGATAATTCCAAGCCCAAGGGACCAAAAATAAAAATTCGAATTATCCAAAAAAATCGAATTAAACACGTTTTTCTTCATTTCTTTATTTCGACTTAGAGCGCTATGTCCCCCTAGGGACACTTGCACTTTGAAAATAAACAAAATTTTTAAAGAAGAGAAAGAAAAATATTTTAAATATGTACAGAATTAGTAT